TCCACTGCGGCTGCTTTCTTGTTTCTTTTGAAGGACACGCTTGGCATTCGTGAGAAATGCATTTCGTGCAACACAACAGATGGAACATCACTGAATGTCAGGAAAAACATCACTCCGGGTTTTCTTTTTTATTTATTTGATACAGTGATATATACCCATTTAATATGCTCCACTGAGGAAATTGGCACTGGATAGAAGTTGTCATGGCTGATAAATGTTGATGGGCTCCATTGTTGCCTTGAGAATACACATTGGTACCACACGGGTGCATTCAAGGAAATTCAGATCCAGTGAACCCCCATCATTCGTGGGAGATTGGGGCTGAGCCAGGCCAAGATTATTGATAGAAAAAGTCAAATTGTGCCAAGATGGCAGTCAAGCACCTAAAACATAGCGAGGATCATAAAGCATCAACGCCATGCTTCTACACAATTCTAATTATATGGTTATTGTATAATAGTGTTTAAAGTAGTGAGATTATTCAACGCAAGCAAACCACCTTCACAGGAGACTCCCTAATCGTATTTACTAGCTTAAATAATGCAGTAGCACAATGCTAGCTCTTTGTACAAATTGTATTATGGAACCTTTTGGTATTTCAACACCAAAATACGTACAGTAAAACCTCCGCTGACGAACGCTTAAGCTCACCAACTTTTCGCCTCAAGAACATTAAATTCGCGAGCATATAGTCTCTGCTGACGAACTAGTTTTCGGCGGACGAACCAAACCACGCGGTCGAACAGCGCCACGGTGGCGGCCACGAGAAGCTGACACACGCTCACAGCGTCCCAGTTCGTCACCCCCTTGCTTTGAGTGCAGACGTGGTTTGTGTTTGATAGACATATTGGACCATATTGAGTGTACTTTTGCTATTATGGGACCGAAAAAGACCCCACCACAGGCTAGTGTTAAGCCTAAGAAGACATTAAAGAAAATTACGATCGAGCTGAAGGAGATCATTGAAAAACACGAACGAGGTGTGTGTCTGCATCCGGATTTTTAGGTATTTTTGGGTTGGGGGTGTGGGGGGGGCATTCATATAGGAAGGAGAGAGCAACTTTTGAATATCTGTCCATTGCAGTGACCAGTGTTACTGAAAAGGTTAAAATCACAATGTATTTTTTTTTCAAGCAGTCCCAAGCAATGACAGTCTGTATTTTTTTTTTTTTCGTTTTTGCTGAGGATACAGCATTACGGCATTCATCTTTGCTGTTATTAATCATATTGTCATAGGCCATTAGATATGCACGCCGTGTATGGATGTGCTCTTGTTGTGGTAACTATGTTGCCATTTATCTGTAGTCATCACCATAACAATGTGCGCAGGAGCGCATTGTTTTAATTAGGGCTACACAAACATAATGAGAGCAAATTACATCCAAGGCATCTCTGGAGGCTCCGTGTTAGTGTCGCTGCTCCACCATGTCATGGCAGTTCATGTGTTCACACTCTCTGTAGACCACGCGGAGTGACGACGGTGCCACCACAGCAGGATCTCACACGGAGAAGCACGCACACATACACACACGCGCCGTGTCATTCACGATCGGTTTTCGACCTCCAATCTCAAATCAGCCAAGTCCAATTTCATCTGCCTCACAGCCGATGGCCTCGGTGACAAACTGTTGAATGTTTTCCACTTATTTGTTTATTTATTTATTTATTTTGGGGAGGGGGTGGGGGCTTTGCTTTCCAATTTCTGCTTTTTTTGTGTGTGTTTGTGAACATGGGAGAACAAGAAGGTGAGTGTGACTGAGACCAATGGAGGGCTTCCATTGATGTATTATCCAAAAGCAATTTTCTTTGTTAAGAACCTGAGCAAATCCTTGCACCCGTGTCCTTAAAACACCCGTGCTGTTCAAATAGGAAAGGTAGTTGCAGCTATCAGTGCTGCTAAAATGAGGTTCGGCCCTGCTCCGTTATTAGCGCTGCATTTCTCACGTTTATCTTGTTCTATATTGCGACGAAAGGGGCACCAAACTTTTGGGCTGAGATGTGATATTTTGTGAGCACACATGAATAAGTGTCATTAGCCGTTCATTGAATTGGTTTTAAAATGTCCATTAACAAATGTGTAATTGAAAATGAAGCAAAGTGTGTTAGAACCTGTGTTTTTTTTTTTTTTTTAACAGTTACGAGCGAGCGCGGTGTTGCAATTGACATAATGGTGATTAACTGACTGGTTTATTATGGAGCTTCCCAGGTATGAGCAGCTGTGGGGTTGCAGGACTCTGTCCTCATTTAGTTCAGTAATCAAGCCCTTCCGTGAATCGAAGATAACATTACCTCAACCGTCATAGTAGCGAAACATCATTGCGCTAACGAAATTAGCAAGCGCTAGCATAGATCTTAAAATTTTTTTTATGCATGTCACGGAACAACATTTTCTGACATAAAGCGTCACAGAACCGTTCATCGATAACAACACAACTTGTACATAGCCGCGATGCTACGAAAGATGTGAAATGCGCGTGGATTGTGCTGGATTAGAATTCGACTACCATCACGTTCCTCTCGTTGACGATCTATCGCTTTTACTTCCTGCTTCCGCGTACGCGAATTCTGCTTTGATGACGCCATTTCCGGTTGTGAACTTCGCTGCTCTCCAGTGAAACCAATACAGTTAAGTTGCATAAAAAAATACTCTCAGCTATCTGTAGAAATATTAAGGTTACTTTAGTGTAACTTAAATGCAACATTCGAATTTAAATTGCATCTAAATTGCGGGCAGAACAGTACTACTTTCCTATTTAACAGGACTTTGGCGCCATGTTTTGGCATTTGAGGGTGTTTTTCCGAAAAGGCATTTCGGAAAAACACATATAAGCTATCCAGGTAAGAGTTGAAGATGGTTTGGACAGAGAAAAAAAAAACACAAACAGGTGAATTTGTACGTACATAAAAAGTTTTAAGAACTCATGGCTTAAAAAAAAAAAAAAAAAAGCTCTCTGCAGTTAAACTTGCTGTTCATCTCCAGTAACTATTTAAGGGACTGTGAAAGATCAAAGGCTGATCAAGTCAGAAAAAACAGCTTTCAACACATTTCTACACATGTTTGTGATGTCAGAAGAGACTGATTGTGTATCCCAAGAGATGCGGATATTTCAAAAAACCACTTTGACCGTTTTCTGCTGCTGCAAAGCTGTCCCGCAAAGGCTGCTGTATTATTCAAGGCGTCAGTTCAATCTATTTGCCCTAAATCATACAAGTAGGAAATGACGGCAATCGCATCCATAATTCACTGACAGCAAGTGCAGGTGTTCGTTCTCGCTATTGTCCAAGTGTGAAGATTTAAGCAGTCACTTACATGAATGGCAAGCGATGGAGGTTCAATTTACTGTTTCAGTGAGCCATAATCACAATGAGGCTGAGCCAGTTTAGAACAGTCAGATGGAATGGAGGCAGCGAAAGATGATCCCGAGTGCACATATTGGTTTGCTGGTCCATGCACAGAAAAAGATCAGATGCCATTAGTCTCCATTTGCACCATTTGTTGCCAACAAAAGTTCCTAAAATGTGCTGATTTTGATTGTCTTTTTAGTTTATGTTGCCAATATTACCAGTGGTGACGTTTAGATTGCTCTCATAAATTAGCAAATGTTTTTTTTTTCCTTTTTCATCGTCAGCCTCAGAAAAAAATCCCAAAAGTCTCACTTTTGTATTTAATAATCTGTTTGACAGTGAAACATTTCCCTTTTTATAGCTGTACCTACAGGCATTATGAGCTTTTCTATACAATAACCTCTACCTTCTGTGCATGCAGAAGCACAACTACTGGAATATCCCTACATCCATTTTCTCATCCGTTTATCCTTACGCGGGTCGCGGGGCGTGCTGCAGCCTATCTCAGCCATCTTCGGGCAGTAGGTGGGGGACACCCTGAACTGGTTGCCAGCCAATCGCAGGGCACACATAGACTAACAGCCATTCTTACTCACACTTACTTCTCCGGACAATTTAGAGCAGTGGTCCTGAACCTTTTTTGCCCGGCGGACCGATTTGATGTCAGACAATATTTTTAGGGACCGGCCTTTAAGGTGTGTCGGATAAATACAACAAAACAATATGATCTGCATGAAAAGTGTATTTTCTCAACACAATAGTAAACACGAATCATGACACGAGGAATGTTCTATCTGGCCACAACACTCTCTGATAGTTGTGGTGATGTTTAAACGTGTCTTCAAAATAAGATTCACCACAAATACAAAGTGCATGAAAAATACGACTCACCATCATGGTAACCTATCACGTGACCGAGAAGCGCACCTTGACCTGCGTCAAGAGTGACATACTGTGTAGACGGATGTAACTAAAAATCCGGTAATTTTTCAAAATAAAACATTTCAGATTGCGAAATAAATAAAACTGAAGTAATGTAAGTTATTTATTCTTTCTGTTCGGCCCGGTACCAAATGACCCACGGACCACTACCGGTCCACGGCCCGGGGATTAGGGACCGCTGATTTAAAATAAGATAACCTTTATTTGTCCCACACCGGAAAAATTTAGAGTGTTCCACCAACCTGCCATGCATGTTTTTGGAATGTGGGGTAAAACCGGAGTACCCGTAGAAAACCCACGCAGGCACGGGGAGAACATGCAAACTCCACACAGGGAGGACAGAACCGGAATCTCTGCACTGTTACGCTGATGCGCTAACCAGTCAACCAATGCTCTCTTATATAGATAGATAGATAGATATGAATGTGCTACAAGCTAGGGGTCTTTCGTACTCACAAAGTTCGGCAGCTGCAGCAGGTTGAATGCTGCATCGGCTCGTGGTCACCTGCAGGGCGATGCATACATCAGCAGGCTCTCACTCAAAATGCCATTTGCAATGCGTAGCTTCAGCGCATGTGTCTTTTCCAACCTGGAGGTCATGTGGGCAAAAATAGCCGGCTGTCCACTCTTTCCAACCCACTGAAACTTTCGCTCGTGTTATCTCGAGACCTCAGCCTCTTGACGCTCCACCTTCCTGTGTGTGTTGTAGTTCTGCTTCGCGAGGAAGTGGCCCAACTGCAGGAAGAGGTGCACCTGCTGCGCCAGATGAAGGACATGTTGAGTAAGGACCTGGAGGAGAGCCAAGGAGGATGTTCGGCCGACGTGCTTTCTGCCACCGAGCTCCGCGTGCAGGTGGCCCAAAAGGAGCAGGAGCTGGACCGAGCCAAGGAGGCTTTGCAAGGTCAGAACTTCAGAAGGGCAGCAACTAGCTGTGTGTGCTCTTGAAAATGCACAATAACGTCAACCTTATGAACTGCTGTCATCTCATTGTCACGGTAATTAAATATAAAGAGTCGGGCTCCCCTTCATTACTTGAAATGGTTCAATTGACGATATCAAAGAGATTAGTTTACGCTATATATTTATTACTGTGGTTTTAGCGCACATCAACAGAGTTCCTCTTCGTTGATGAGGTTTGCTGCAGTACATCCTACTGTGCATTAAAGTTCAATGCTTAAAAGAGAATTAAGAATTGCCTGCGGAGTGTCTATTTATTTTTTATGACCAGATCTGAAAGCAGGGGATTATTTTCATGTCCCTATAATGAGAATGAGATGTTAACTGCTGCATATTGGTCGTATTATGGACCGCCGCTTCGTGTTTTGGCCTGTGAGGTGCTGCTGCAGTTCACTGAGACACGTGTTTTTTTTTTTTTGTTTAGTAAGGCTGGAAACACTCAAATGTTAAGATTTTTTTGTTTTGTTTTTGTCCTCTTTCTCTCTCTCAGGCTCTGCATATGATTTTATATTGTAATTTATTTTTTAGCATTGTGATAAATGCAAGACAGCTATTGGTCTGTATGCCGACGTGACTGTTAAAAATACTTTTGGCAGTTGTGTCAAGCAGTGGTTGCCAGAGTTTATACAACAATGATGATGATGATGATGCAACCACCGGGATGTGAAAATCAACTCATAAGTTACTGGACTGTGTCTTTACTTGACAGTTCATTTGGACTTGTATCATACACGAAATCTTTGCACTGGGAAGGAATGTAAAAGTCTCCCGACTGACGAAAGACCAATCCCGCAATGTTGTGACAGTAATCAGCTGCTCATAAAAGCTTCAAGAAGGGGAATTTGGTATGGCTTACAAGGTCCGGAAATGTCAAGCGAGGGGGGGTAGGGTGGGGGGGCTGTTTACCATGAAAACAGCGTGTGAAAGAAGGCAACAGGAAATTGTCAGTTTGTTGGGGGTAACTTTTACGCATTAACTGTGGAAGTTGTTTCTTTTTCTGGGGATGGATCGTCTTTGGAGAAAAAGAGAACTGGCATGAACGAGGAAAAATATGACAATGTTATCGCAATATTTGTGTTTTACATGCCGTATGTTCATTCGGTGATATGAATAAAAATTGTTGTTAAACTTCAGCTTGATAATTTGAACAGCATAACAAAGTATACAATTCATATATCCGTGTGTCATTGACGTGTTTACACTGTGTTACATGTTCGTGTTTTTTTTTCTATAAATGATCAGACTGTATTAGACGTCCTAGTTGGCGGGCATTTTATTGGAAATGGCTACAACGAAATACCGTTCTAATGTACAGATCCGTTATGTAGGTACGTTGTAACGAGGTTCGACCGTATAGGTAAACAATTTTAAACGGTAGAGGATTCTCGGTGCACTCAGAAAAAAAATAATCGTTTCTTTATTACCTTGAAATGAATGCTGCGGGGTCAGGAATCCGTAATAACCAGTGGAAGCTATGGCGCTCCTTATTCGTATTCTTAGACATAACACACATATCCCATGCATTAACATTTCTCTTAACAACCTCTTCCAAAAAAGGATTTTTGAACATCCAAAATCATTTAAGATGGAATTCGGTGTCTTGCATGCTTAAAGCTCTTGTGTCAACAGAAAATTGTAGAGCTCGGCCTTTATCAACTGTCTGAAGTGTCCATATTTCCTGTTTGGCAACCAATGATATACAATGTTGTATCCCTTCCTGTGTGGGCAGTCGAAGCTGTTCAGGAGCAAAGTACCATGAAAGCGGGCCGGCACACAAAGGCTTTTAACACATTGCGGGAACGGATGTTTCCATGAAACACAAGGGTTTTGGCAGTGGGAGGTATGGGCCAGTTTGGAAAGAGATTCGGGAATAGAACCGAGGCACTTGTGTTGTAATCAACAGCTACTTGCTCGAAAAACATTGCTCCCTCTCTATGTCGCCTTGTGCCACTCGTGCCGTGCCTCAGCTGGTGATCGGATACCTTGAAAAAAATTGAATTGCAGTCCACGTTTAGGCCACAAATCCACCAAGCGGTACAATTGGTGTGTCGGTGGGTTTGTGAGTGGGTCGGTTTTCCTTAAATAACAAGACATTGTACAATACAATCAATTCAGGAAGTGAACGTCAAACCCAACAAAGGGGTATTCTTGTCTTGTTCGGGTTGCGAACTGCACTGAACTGAAACCATCCATAAGCTAACAACCGCCCCCAACCAAAGTCGTGAAACAGTACGGCTAATTAAGTCTGAAGAATACTTATTTCCCTTGAGAAAACTTCTTGTTGTTTCTCATTTGTGAGGTTTTTTTGTTGCTGGATGAAGTATCACAATTACTTGTTCTTAGCCGTAGGGCATAGTCATCGCCTCAATCTTCTAGAATTGTCGCTTTCACAGGAAAACAACACTTCAATCTGAAAGTGAGTGTCGGCATTCAGTGCATGTAAAAGAAAACACCGTGGCTCCAAAACACACCAGTCAGTCAGTTGATCGATTACTTTTACTCAAATCTTGTTTTTCTGAGCTGTGGCTCAGATCCAAATGTAAATGCCTGAAAATATGAGATGAAACATTGATGTTTCTCCCTCTTTCTCTCTCTCTCTCGAATTCGTCTTTGGATGTCAAACTTATTTATTCATCTATTTGTGAATCTTGATCAAAAAAATCAAGAAATAGTCCTCACTGTTCCAATGCTTTTGGAGTAGGGTGTACCTTCTTGGTCACTGCCCTGGTATCCTCAAAAGTACGACTTTTGTACCCTTAGCGCTGACATCGGTAAGTCTGGAAACAAACCTGGACTTATTTCTTGCCTGGAAAAATTACTAACGGTTACTTTGGAGTCCACAAATTAGACATAAGTGGCTACATTGGTGTAAATTATACTTCAGGGTCACCTTCTATTCCGGCTGTAAGTGTACGTTGAGGGTTAACACAAAGCCAAGGAGTACGCAAGGGAGCCAATACGGCTGTCAACCAATGCTTTCTCCACGCAGTTCATCGGCCCAACAAGATCACCTTCATCATCTGTATTCATTAAACATACAGAGGTCGCGGACGTACTGACCATCAATGGACCCTTTTACCGACTCACAGTGGGCGTCTTGTCTCGTCCGGCGTCAGGCGGATGGCTGTTGCCCAACGGACACAGGTGCAGGATACGAGACAGCCACGGTGTTTGTGGCTCATCTCAGAGGCATCTCTTGAGTTCGGTGAGGCAGGTGCACCCAGCTTTGCGCTTTCGCTCCGCCCATACCGGAGCTTCGCCGAGCTTCTTAGTCTGAGAAACCTGTTGAGGTGCAGACACGGAGAAAGGGAGTCATAAGTTCTTTTGTAGGGGGTAAAAATCAGTCAAGGAGACTGCATTCTAAACTGACTAGTTTCCAATAATATTACCAACAACAGAGAAAACAGTGTGCCCCTAGTGGATAATCCATGAATTGCATTTTATGAAAAATATTAATTCCGTGTCTTTTATGCATTTTTTTTCACATTTAAATTATCCCGTGGGCCTTATGTTTGACACCCATGCTCTAGACAGAGTTGGAGGTGCCAGAGTTAAAGTTGTGGAGATTCTCTTTCGGAATGACAAGGATGGACCAGATCAGAGATGAGCTCGGCACAAATTTAAAGCGGCCAGATTGAAATGGTTTGGATATGTTTAGATCAGGGATAGTGGATATATCAGTGTAAGGATGCTGGAAAATTTCACCGCCAGGTAGGCGGCAAAGAGGAAAACCAGAGATTACATTTGTAGATGTGATGTGAGAAGACCTGTGGATAATTGGAGTGAGAGCCGAAGATGCAGAGGACCGGGAGGGATAGAAAAAGGACGAGTTGCTGCGGTAACCCCTGAATAGGGTTACGGCAAAAGAGAAAGAACAAGAAAGGTCAAATTATTTTCTCAAGTAGCCCTCTAAACATTAATCACGCTGTTCTTATCTAGTGAGAAAGTGACAGACGTTGTCCTTGCACAACATTCCAGCTCCCAGAGCAGCCTCCCCAGATGCAGCTTGTGAAAGTGGAGCTGTTAAAAAGTTCATTTACAGACACACAGCTGGCCCACAGCACAAGCGAGGTAAACAAAGAAAGGCGCATCAAGAGGGAAACTGACACGATCCTTGAAGGTACCCGGCAGTCGGGGGAATTGCGTCCACGAATAATTGCCAAGCGATGAAGTCAAAGATGGATTTACAAAGAGTGACTGACTACAAAGAGCATTTATAATACAAATGAGCAATGGAAGCTGTTGGCAAATGTCTGTCCAAAGGAAAAAAAAACAGCTTGGGTAATGGGTAACGCTGACAACAAAGGGAGAACAGGAGTCAATTGTCTTTGAGACATATCAAAATTCCGTGAACAAGCATGTCAAAGCAGGTTATTTATCATCATGTGCAGTCCACGGTATGACAATGAGACTGAAGAACCAGAGACCAAGTCGAGACGTGGAGTTGACTGCCCGTCCGTAAACGCTGAAAAGCATCCCATACATGCAAATCGGGACACACTTTTGTACTGCACTATATATTCATTCATTCATTCATTTTCCGATCCGCTTATCCTCACAAGGGTCGCGGGGAGTGCTGGAGCCTATCCCAGCTATCTTCGGGCAATAGGCGGGGGACACCCTGAACCGGTTGCCAGCCAATCGCAGGGCACACAGAGACGAACAACCAACCATGCTCACACTCACACCTAAGGACAATTTGGAGTGTTCAGTCAGGCTGCCATGCATGTTTTTGGAATGTGGGAGGAAACCGCAGTACCCGGAGAAAACCCACGCAGGCCCGGGGAGAACATGCAAACTCCACACAGGAAGGCCCGAGCTGGAATTGAACCCGGTACCTCTGCACTGTGAGGTCGACGTGCTAATAACCACTGGACCACCGGGCCGCCTGCACTATATAGTCATTCAAAATATAAAATACAGTCTCAGTAGCCTCAGGGGTATTCCGTCGGAGGTTCCACTGGAACTTATTACACGATCATTATGTATTTAAAGCCCAACCACAGTAGTTCAAAGACGCTTTAGAAATGTTTTGTTATTATTCTGAGGTTCATTTTAATCCCATTTTCAATGGTTTCCTGTACTTCCTCCAGAAATTGCAGGCATGTCCTTGCAGGTAGAAACTGAACGATCAAAAATTGTCTTTGTACCGACCCTCCGGAATCTTTTAAAATTCAGCCCCCGAAGCTTGTTTCACTTAGCGACATAAAATTTGGTAGACGTGTCTATCATGAGAAGACGCAACCAAAATCCCCATGCCTAAAAAGGGCGAAGGAAATCTGCCTTTTTATTTTCAAGAGACCAATTTAGGGTCAATTTGAAGCAGTCCTTCAAAAACAAACTTATCCCATAGAGTTTGTCCCGCCATCAAAACTCTTAACAGCTGGACCAACAACGATGTACGTGATGGTTTGAAGAGATTCAAACAGGAGGCGCCACCTAAACTGGGAGAGCTGTAGAGATACCAATACCAGTTGGTACCTTAACTTTTAATTCTCAAAAGTTCCTTGAAAGTCTGTATACCAGACCTGGGCACAGTACAGCCCGAGACCCCACACCCAGCCCACCCAAAGTCTCTGACTGGCCCTCACGGTGACCACTAAATCAAAGTAAAATGTAAAATATGCTGCCGTGCTTTTATTTTTAAAATTGTTCATCAATCAATGTAAAAATCCCCCCCCTCGTTCTTTTCAGATAGCCGTGTTACTCATTAATCGGTTTCAGAAACCACTGATATGTGAACACAAACAAAAATCAACGTGCGACATTGACTAAAAAAAAAAAAACTTGAAAAGGCACTGTGTAAATATTGCACCAAATGCTCCAGGGTTATTGTGTGTGAGATTGACCATAAATAGTCCGGGGAATTTCTGATGTTGCAGAGGTGCTCCAACAAATGTTGACTCATGTCTAACCAATGAACCTGTGCCGGCACACAATGCAGTGCTAACCAATGCTCTCTCTCTCTGTCTCTCTCTCTCTCTCTCTCTCTCTCTCTCTCTCTCTCTCTGTCTCTCTCTCTCTCTCTCTGCCTTTCATTTCTATCAGCCATGAAGTCAGACCGTAAGCGTCTTAAGGCGGAAAAGGCAGACCTGGTGAATCAGATGCAGCAACTTTATTCCACACTGGAGAGTCGAGAGGAGCAGCTCCGTGATTTTATTCGCAACTACGACCAGCACAGAAAAGTACATGATTAAAGCAGTTTTTCCCCCCCCCATTCATAGCAATGTTGGTTAGAATGCTCATTGAGTGGACAAATTTGGTTTTCCTCAACCGTAGGAGGACATTAAACAAGTGTTTCCCAACCTTTATTGTTTTATACTGTAATACACTTTACATTGGAGTCAGCCAATCCTCCACTAAGCTTCTCCAGTTGGTCCAAAATGCTGCTGCTCGCCTCTTGACTAGTACTCATAAGAGAGAGCACATAACGCTCGCTCTGGCACCCCTTCACTGACTCCCAATGCATTTTAGAGTTCTTTTTAAGATTCTATTATTTGTTTTCAAATCTTTAAATGGCCTCGCTCCACCTTACCTCTCTTAGCTACTCCGCCACTACACACCTGCCCGGTGCCTCAGGTCTGGGGACCAGACACTATTAGTGGTACCGAGAACTAAGCGGAGGCTCAGAGGGGATGGAGCCTTTTCTGTTGCCAGTCCCTCTCTTTGGAATGACCTCCCGCTGAACGTTAGGCAAGCCCCCTCGCTGCCCATCTTTAAAATTCGTCTCAAATCTCATTTGTATTCTTTGGCTTTTGACTCAGCATGAGACTTGATCTTTCGTTTTCCTGTTTTTGTGCCTTCTACTTTGTCTTTGTCATTCATTTATTTTTTGTTGTTGTATGAATTATTTTTGCTCCGTATGCATCACTTTGTATACAGCGGTGGTTGTTTTAAATTGCTCTCGAAATGCAGTTGAGTTCTGTTTTCAAGGAGCAATGACTACAACACCGTATAGACAGAGTTGGAGCTGCCAGAGTTAAAATATATTCCTTAAAATGTGATTTGAATCTGACGTCACACAAATGAAAATGTCACAAAAAGTATGTACACTAAAATTACGATGACCTCATTTCAATTTAGTTACTTGGTGTGAACTCTGGGCCTGTTGAGCTGTTATTCTGTATGAACGGCAACAGATGGTAAATTGTCCCTTCCGCCATCTAGTGGAAGAGCGTTTAATTGTTCTGCATGGCAGCATACGTCACTGGCGTAAAGATACATGGATGCGCAAAGATACCTTTCTTTTTTTTTTTTTTTTTTTTTTTTTTTGTTGTTGTTGTGAAGAAATAATTACTTTCAGACCAATTAAGTGAAATCAGATAATAATTTCCTTCGGCACGCCTGATGAGCTCTCGTGGCGCAGTCATGTCCTGTGGCATAGTAGTTTGGAGTCATTGCCTTAAATGCACTAAAAAGTAAGCATCTAATCAAATTGTTGTAATGTTATACTGCTTCCAGTCCCTGGGCGGCCTATTTGCCGAGTACCTCGCGATTGCTACCTGTCAGCAACATGGCCATTGACCCAGGGAATTGCACTTTCTTGCTGTTTTGAGCTTTACGCAACAACTTCGGGCTCTTTCTGTTCTTCACCAGGAGAGCGAGGATGCGGTGAAAGCTCTCGCCAAAGAGAAAGACATGCTGGAGAGAGAGAAGTGGGACCTGCGGCGGCAGACCAAGGAAGCCACCGAGCACACGGGAATGCTGCGCACACAGTTGGACCTCAAGGAAAACCGCATCAAGGAGCTGGAGGCTGAACTGGCCATGGTGAGATGGGAGCTAGAAGACGGAGGGGGCGTGAAATTAAAAAAAAAGAGCTAGCTATCCCGAACTGAATATCAATCCATCCAAAACTACAATACAATACCTCTTATTTTGTGTCTTTATCTATCACTTGATTAGTCAACAGGCTACTTCCTGGTTCAGGAAGGGATCATGTGACAGTAGATGGTCAGTGCCAATTTGATTCTTAAATAAAATAACACGCTGGTGAAAACAATTCCTCGATCCCACCCTGATCTGGATCTGCACTAAAAAGAGTCTGCATTGAAATCTCTTCAGGATGCTGGGTGGTCTTTTTTTTTTTTTTGATAGGTCCTCCAAAGCACTACATAGCACTTATACGGCAATAATCTTCTTTTTTTTTTTAAACTACAATCATGTTAAACATTGAATTAAATGCTATCTCACATACAGTAGAGCTGATGTCATGTTGGTTTTCTGACAGTCGAGACTGAATATGCAGCACCTGTTATTTGCAGCCAAGTAGTGGAATCCATTTTGCCTCAAACGGCGATCCAAGGCACGATTCAAATTCTTAGTGATAATTCATCTCCTAGTCAATGATTGTGCATTTTACTTTCATCGCTACCTTGACAAAGTCTCATGAAAATCAGTTTTGTAGTTTTTGTGTCATCTTGCTTCCAAACAGGATTTAAAAAGAAAGATCATGTTCTGACCATAATAGTTCACATATCTACGAAATGAATCGCTAAATAATTTGAATGTCCAGTATGGCCCTCCCTCATGTCTCCACCCCCTCCCCTTCAGATCAGTAACTGTGTCAATCAAAGAATGGAGTTCCGGGTGTTTGAGCGGCTCGGGGACAGGGACTTCTCCCCGAGGGTTATGGCGGTAAGATGGACCCCCCCGCCCTGTTCGGCTTTGACTTGAACTTGTCTTAACCCTCCCTTGATCCTTGGAAAGATCCCCTAATTATTGGCTTGGATACATGTGTGACTAATCCCCAGCTCACCCAAATCAAACCCGGTCATTTGACCAGTAGTGATGCCAAGGCCCCCCCCCCACCCCCCCACCCCCTCGTGATTGATCCAAATGTGATTTACTTCAAAGTCAGAAAGAAGACGTCGTCATCGTGACCACTAATGAAGGGTTGTGATCCTGTTTTGTTTTGCATGTCAGCC